GACTTCAAATTCGATCACTGCAACTAGACACTTGGTGATCAAAAGTTTATCAAATATGTACTATGCGTCAAACTGTGTGTCCGTGGCGTGGTGCTGAATTTCCACGTTTCGCTGATGGTGAGGTCCCGCCCAATGCTGCTTGCAGCTTTAATTAAATTAAATTCTCATTTATCATTGGTGGCCTAAAGTGATTCATACATTCTCAACTTGTAAAAATGAAATTAAAATGTGCAACATTTTTTTCTCTATATTTCACCAGACCTCAATAGCGGTGGCTATGAGTCTTGAGCCCACCTATAGCTATAGGTTAGCTATGGAATCCAAATCCCAAACCAGAAAAGTCTCAGAGGAAAACAGCTTGTGCATGGACAGATTTGTTTTCTTTCAACACCAACACTGTTGGTTTACTGGTATTATTGGTCTGTAGTGAGAAATTAGCATTATAAGGCTCAAATATGTTAATTCTAAAAAACAAAAATGCCTCTTTTGATAATAAAGGTTACTGACCCCTTGTGTGGATGTTAAAAAATAAATCAATAAATATTAATCTATAAAAGCTATTAACAGAATAATTACTCTAGCACAGTGTTGTGTTACAGTAGTGAATGTACTTTATGTGCATTCTTTTCAGTTTTGCCCTATTTACACACAGATGCTGCTGTTGCTGGGTAGAGTTGCTGCACCAGCATCTTTAAATATGTGGGGGAAAAAAACATTTTGAACATTTTAAGTTCAGCACAGAAAACACTAGAGCATGCCACACACACACACACACACACACACACACACACACAGAATTGAAGTGTGGTGTAAAGAGGGAGTTCCAGTGCAAGTCAGTGCAGGTTAATGATGAACAACACCATGTTTTACACATTCCTACATGGAAATATACGAATCTGTCTGGGCACAGTGCTGTCAGCTACACACCCAAATACTCTCCTTCCTACTCCTTTGGAGAGTCAGCAGGAAGTCCACCAGCTCAGACCCAGTAAGGACTATTGAACATGCTGAGGGAGCCTGCTCTACATTGTCACACGTTTCGGACACCGTGCAAAAGACTTAGACGTTCGTAGCGAGACTCTTCACTGCGAACCATGGAAATTCTGCGGCACGCCACAGACACACCGTTTGATGCACAGTAAATATTTGATTAAGTTTTGATCACCAATGTGTCTAGATTCCAGTGATCGAATTTTAAGTCAATCCGATAAAATCTGTAGGCGGAGTTAGTTAAAATGCAAGCCCTGAAATGCCGGAAATGA